AGAAATGAGATCATGAAAGGTCATTCATTCATTCACTCATTCAATATGCCTGCTACAAATATGTACTGAGAACCTGGGAGCCTAGTAGCATTCCAGGCACTGGGAGTCAAGTAAGCAAGGCAGAAAAGAGCCTTGCTTTCATGATGTTTACATTTTTGTGGACAAAGAGAGAACATAAACAAATAAACAAAAATATCATCTAGCAATAACTGTCAAGGATAAAAAGAAAATAGAGTTATATCACAAAGAGGGATTAGAAGTTTCAGTGGTATCAGAGGTTTCAACGAGAAGAGGGTATTTACCTTGAGGACTGTAAAACAAAAAGCAAGCCTGGAAGAGCTGGCAGAGAAACTCCCCAATACTACACAGCTTCTGCAAGATGTGGGTATTTGAAACCACACCTCTATGACTGCAAAGCTTCAATCTTTCTCCCAACTTCCACTATACAGGGTTCTCATGAAATATATGGCAAATTTTGTCAACTACAAAATCAAGAAAATAACCAGCAATTAAATATATAATGGAAATTGTGTAGATAGTATGATCAGATAATTAAATTACAAATTTTCTGCCTCTACTTGGACCTGTCCAAATTGTTTATCTACCCAGCCTCATTTCTGTAGATACAATTGTCCAGATTAAATTTCTTTTGGACATTGCTTTATCTAGAGAGCACGATTTCTAGATGTTTCTTCACCCTTAAAATTGACATATTTCCCCACAATAGAAGTGCTCTGTTTTCGTCTTTGTTGATTTTTTGATGCTTACTCTTTTCAAATCCAATTTAGTCTAACATAGCTTAAAGTTACACAGGCTCTAGGATGGAGAATACGGGGACTAGAACTTTGATTGTATTCCAGACAATGATGGGCTGCAGTGAGAAGCAGGACATAAAAAGGGTTTATAAAACATTTTTAAATACTACATAAAAAGGTACACCCAGAAAGTCTTATAGAGTTGAGCCATCTATACCCAGTGGGATATATTAATGGAAATTGTTTAATGAGTGTCTTTTAAAGCAATCACCTATCAAAACACTAAACACTTCAATGGAAACTTTAGTCTCTAAGAATCTTGGAATGTTTTCTAGACTCTTGACTCCAGGGCTGACTTAAACCCCAATTGCATTGCATCTTCCTCTGACGCTGATTGTTTCAACTCCTCCAGCATACTTGTCAGTGGTTTGTTCTTTTGTAAATCTAGCTGCCTGAAGCATAACCCAAGACTCAAACCTAAGTCGATAACCTTTTAACTTCTCAGGTTTTTAAAGAGCTATTGAAGTAAAATCTGATATTTTTGTATTTCTCATTTTTTTTATTTTATGTCCTTATCAACTTGTTTATATAATTGGTATTTGGATCTCATCAGACAAAACTGTCCATGTTTTATGGCATATATGGAGGAAATTACTAGGCAATAAATATTAATATAAAGAGTATTAAGAAGACTCAGATTTTGAAATATGTTTTCTAATATTCCACCCATAAAAATGAATTACACTATATTCCTGGAATGCTCCTTCTTGTTCCTGTTTTTGCTGAAATTCCAAATATGGATTCAATTTCTTTTTTATATTTGAGTTATATTTCATTCCCTTGGCTTCCAACCTCAAGGGTCAAACTGAAGAAAATTGTACGTATTTTATTCTATTGAATATAACAATCATCCAAAATGATTGTATAAATTGAATCTCATTGGAAAATACGAACACATGAATAAATTATTTGGGCATGCAATTTTTATAACTATGAATTTTTAAAAATATGTTATTTACCACATTATAATTTCTGACAGTTGTATCATGGGTGTGAGAACATTGAGCTACAAGAAGCAGTCACAGATGTATGAAATTTAGAGCTAAGAGAAATTTAAGAAGACATCTGGTTTAATCTCCTCTCTGTGGAAGATGTGGAAATCAAGATGTGGAAAGGTTATGGGCCTTGTTTCTGGTCACACGGGTAGTTAAGGGCAGAGCTCAAGCCTTCTGACTTCCTGTGTGAAAGGCAACAAGGACACTTTTCTCCAGGCTGTTGGTGTGAAGTTTCTATGGCCTATTTATGTTATCTTATTTGAGACTCAGTGAAATTCTTTGAAATAATTATCTAAAGAATACCTTATTAATAAAAACTTGCACTAACTAGAAAACTCTCTGTTAAAGACTGAATGTTGTTGTCCCGTCCCTCACAAAAAAAATTCATATGTTGAAACCCTCACCCTAGTGTGTCTATATTTGGAAATGGGACGTCTCAGGAAGTAATTCATTAAATAGGTCATTAGTGTGGGGCCCCGACCCAATAGGATTAGTGTTCTATGAGAAGACATACCTGCGAGCTCCAAAGAACACATTCTCTTTCTCTGTCTCTTCCTCCTCCAACACCCAGCTTGCACAAAGAAGAGGTCATATGATCACACAGTAAAGTAAACATGGTGGCCACCTACAAGTCAAGAGAAAATGCCTCAGAATGAAACCTACCTTGTCGGTGCCTTATCTTGGATTTTCTATCTTGTAGAACTATGAGAAATAAATTTCTGTTACTAAGCCACCCAGTCTGTGGTATCTTCCTTAAATAAAAGAAAAAAGAAACTGTAAGACGGTGATTCTCTCACATGGGTAGGGACATAATTAGCTTGGAAAAGCATGTTTTAACATTATTACTATTGTAATACATATTTCTATAGGTAAAGTTTTGCATACATCCTTCATCATTTTCCCAGGGAAAAAATATTGAAATGGGACTTGCTGGGTCAAAGTATACACTTTTTAGGACTTTGAAGTAGCATATTTTCACAGAAAAATTAACTGCATATTATACTACTCTACAACAATTAGCTTTGCACAATAGGCAGGTATGTTGATGGATAGGTGGCAGAGAGGGCTATTCTGGGTAAATCCTTCTCATAGATAAAGAGAACTCAGCTTAGATTATGACTACAAAAGAGCCCTTGGGATCTAGAAGATTGGAGAGAGAGTTTACTCTTACTTTTGTTTACTAAAGCCAAATTATCACAATTAGAAGATACCTTGCTTGCTGAAAATTAGCACCCCCTCCAAAAAAATCTCTCTGACCTAATTCAAATGACAGTTATTATTGGACAATTAAAGATAAAATTAAATTTTTTAAAAAAGGTAGGATCTCAGCAATCCCATTGCTGGGAATCTACCCAAAAGATCCAATGACACTCTACAAAAAAGACACCTGCACTCGAATATTTATAACAGCACAATTCATAATTGCAAGGCTGTGGGAACAGCCCAAGTGCCCATCAATCCAAGAATGGATTAATAAAATGTGGTATATGTATACCATGGAGTACTATTCAGCTCTAAGAAACAATGGTGATATAGCACATCTTATATTTTCCTGGTTAGAGCTGGAACCCATACTACTAAGTGAAGTATCCCAAGAATGGAAAAACAAGCACCACATATGCTCACCAATAAACTGGTATTAACTGAGCAGCACCTAATTGGACACATAGGTACTACAGTAATAGGGTATTGGGCAGGTGGGAGGGGGGAGGGGGGCAGATATATACATACATAATGAGTGAGATGTACACCATCTGGGGGATTGTCATGCTAGAGACTCAGACTTGTGGGGGGCAGGAGGGAAAGGGCATTTATTGAAATCTTAAAATCTGTACCCCCATAATTTGCCGAAATAAAAAAAAAGGTAGTATCCATGTGTGAATCTGACCTGAACAAGGGCTTCCTGAACTGGGGCAATTATTAGAACCATTGTTTCCTTTCTTTTTGTTTTCCTTTTCTTTATTCGTTTTTAGTTTAGGAACCCAAGACCAGTTTTCTACAAGGGTACAATTGGCATTCCCCTCAGTCACCTCGCCGGGGACACTTACAAAGCACACTCCAATCTCAGCCATTACCAACTGACAAGAATTTTGTATTTTACATCATCGCTTCATATCAAGAAATTCTTCCAAATGATAACTGATGCAGTTAAGCCTCCCAGAAAATGAACATTTTGGAGGATTTGGCTAAAAAACCTACTCACCTTTTGAAAATCTCTGGCTAGTAGCCACGTGGGGATTTTTGAACTGAAAAGGTCAGCTTTGCCCGCCCGCACCTTGACCTGCATCTCAGTCTGAGGCTCAGGACTTGAAGGCTGCATGATTTTATTTGAAATGTCTACCTTGCGTGGAGCCACGACAACAAAAAAATTGAAAGTGTAAAAAGAAAAGCTATTATATCCTACAGGAGGATCTCCTGTATTAGCGAACTTGAAAACCAGTATGTTTAAATGCTTCCAGACTCACACAGGCACACTCTCCCATCCACTTTCCACTACTTCTACCTTACTATACTAAGAAAAGTTAAATTTTAAAAGGAGATAAAGTATATCATAGAGATATACTAATCCTCTAATTCCTTAGAGGAGCGAATAACCTTTTCTCTTGATATAGGAACCAAGCATTGATCTGTCACACTGTTTGTTCTAGTAGAGCTCCCAGAGGCACATTCAGTTTGAAACGTTAAGGCTAGTTCATTAGGCGTCCCTGGCTCCTTTCTCCAAGAGAATCAAGATAACACTGTGGTTAGTTAATGGCTTTCTCTTGTTTCCCCCAGAGCCTGCCTGTCTGAAGCCTGCGGGCCTGGAGAAGTTTCTTCCTCCCTTCTCTTTGCTATTAGTCACAGCTGGTAAGGCTCACAGGAGCTGAGACTGTTTGAAAACAGTCGGATCACGAAAACGTTTGAGTCTTTCTGCTGCAAGCAACAAACTTGGCCCAGGCTGCCACGAGGAGGAGATGGAGTGGGAGTGGGAGTGGGGGGGTGGGGGTGGGGGGGGGGAAGGTAGGCACGGGGAAGGAAGGAAGAAAAGGAAATTGCTAACACCTCACTTCAAAACCCTCTCTCTGGGAGCCCGTGGTGAGCACCCTTGCTGGGAAGGTGGGCAAACTAACTTTCATGAGGAAGTGATGATACCCCTTGGGGCCGGTGTCTCCTGCCTGGTCCCAGTGTGCTCCCCTCCATTCTGGTAAGGGGACAGCGAGGGCGGGGCTAATGAGGAGACCCGTCTGACCTTAAGCAGTTGCAATTCCTTAAAACCTGCCCACCCCTCTTCCCTCTGTACTTACTTTTGATAGAATTAGTGGAGGAAATAACAAACAAACAAACAAACAAAAAAAGAAACTGAAAGAAAAGAAGAGTCAAGTTAGGTGTTACAGATAAGCTCAAATTCCAAAACCCAACCCATGGACTCCTGTAACGCCCTAGGGTGGAACTGCCCAGTGAAAGGCATGATGCCGCTCAGGTATGACCTGGCTTTTTAAATAGCCCTGTTATTTGGTTGTTTGGTGCATTCTTCCTCACAAAAGCAGCTCTAGGAATACTGAATCATTTCAGCTTTTTTTTTTTTTTTTTGCCTGTGACAGGGCCTTGGTGAACTGCTAACTGGGGCCGTGTGTCTGGCTCTCCCTGGAGTGGCTGGTGAGCTGCCCTGCAAAGGGGAGGCTAAGACAGATTCCTTGATAATGTAGGTGATAACAATGATGTCATCACCAGCGATAAATCACCCTTTGTCACTGCCCTGATCCTGACTCACCAATGCTATGGCTGCATTGGGTTTATGAGGCTAATAAACATATATGCTTTGGGGCCAAGTTTAAATATAATAAGGAAAGGTTTCATTTCCCTTTCTGGGTGCCTACAGGATTCTTATTGTACTAAAGAAATCACAGAGGAAAGTTTTATGAGGGATCGGGTCAAACCCATAAAAGTAATGGGGTTCTTGAGGTCACCTTTTTGAGGGCAGTCTGAAGCTGGTTCCATATCTGGCTCGGATTTTTCAGATAACATCCCTGCCTCTTCTTCAGTGGTTTGAGAACATTTAGGTTCTTCCTCTGAATTTGGAACATGCTAATGACTTACTAGAGATGACAAAGATAAAAGTATATACTTAATACCAGATTCCAGTTTGATTAAAAACAAAATGAAAAAAAAAAATCCCCACTCAAACACAACGTTTATTCTGTTTCCAAAAAGGAAATATGTGTGCAATTTTTCTAATTAACAATGTTTATTACAATTATATTTTTGGCTTTTATCCTGGTTCAAAAGTCACAGAGAGAAAATAGTAAAGACCAAGTTAGAAAAAAGGAAATTCAAGATCCATAGGAACATTTCTAGATTGTCCGCTAGAGCTTGTATTACACAATAGAAAAATGATCACTAATAGATGACAAACTATCTTTAAGTTTACTTTTGGAAGGATATGGATATTGTGCAATGTTCCTAAAACACACCAGCATCTCTTACACCAATACTTCAAATATGGATTATGTAATCATCCAAGTTAAATGGAAATAACTACATATTTAAATAAAATCAAGTCATACCTCATGTGAAGATTTTACTTAGATTTACAATTTGGGGGATTTTGTCTAATTATTGTTTGGCATTAGTTTATTGCATAATGTTATCAAGCAACTTATCATGTAGGTGAATGTACCTCTGAGTATGCATGAAGTTACATTAGTGTTGATGATTTATTCATCTGGCACCGATAACAACTGCATTTTTTAATGCAACTCATTCTCAGCACTTTTGTTCCTGGCAACTTCATCCTTCTGAATCTCTTCTTTCTGCATGGCCCCTCCTCCAGTGTGTATTCTTCCTCACAAGCTCCAAACATTGATTGTTCATGGCCTTGGCCCTTAGTTCTATTGATCCATATTTTCCTACTGAGAGAAAACAGGACTATGTCCATTCACAAAGTCTGCATCATATTTGATTCCAGGTTGCCTTCACTGAACACCTACTATATTCATGGTACTTTCTTTTCTGGTCGCTGCAGGGAATATAAAAATAAATAAGTCCCAATGCCCACTCTCTTGGCAGATGAAATACTAATAATAGTCATAATAACTAAGAAATTTTATCTAGCACTTATTACAAGCCAGGCACTATTCTATATGCTCTATACACATAAACCCACTTAACTTCAAAGAATCTTTTGAGGGATGCACTATCATTATCCTCATTGTACAGAGAAGGAAATGAAGACATAGACAGGTTGGATTATGGCCCAGTGTTATACAAAAATACAGATAACCATGGGCAAAGGGGAATTTGAAAAGTAGCATGCAGGAGACGCACCTAAAACATCATGGAGTCTCAACTGGTGGGGTCAGGGGTGGGGTGAATGACCACAGGCCAGATTTCCTAAAAAGTTGACTTTGAACAAAGAATTTTAAAGTAAATTTTAAATACTTGCTGTGTTCCAGGAACTTATGCTGAATGTTTTGTTTCATATAATTCCAACCAAATCCTGGTTTTGCAGATGAGCAATTAGATAATTAGATACTTAGCAAATAGGTTGTCTAATTTTATAAAGTATTAAAATTGTAATACCAGAATTTAAACCTAGGTCTGCCTTAATTCAACACCTCTGCTTTTAGCTATTCTACTAAACTTCCTATTTCTCCAAGGTAGATGATGAAGAATGAGTCAGATTCTGAAAGATAGAATTAAGAGGAGAGGACACTATAAGAGACAGAGAAGTATGAGTATGGAATCAGAGAGGAAATTTTCCAGAAATAGAGGAAGGATTAGCTTAGCTTTTCATTTCTGCAACAAGACTGCATGACACATGCATGAACATATGAGACACACATCCGGACTTTGTAAAGTCTCTGTAGAGGTAAAGTCCTCCACGAGATAGTGACACCTGGTGTGATGTGGCAAGAGTGAGGCTGAGATACTTGTGCAGAGAAAGAGGGAAACAGAGATCAGAAAGAATTATTGAGGATGTATCACAAAAGGCCTTAAATGCCAAGCTGAGAAAAGTTAACTGAATACGTCATGTCTTCTAAAACTTTCAGTTTTTTAGAAGAATATATGGTAGGAATTATGGTTTAGTAACACTAATTAGCATAATTGGGAAAATTAACAGGGTATTTTGGAGGCCATTAAAAGTGACTCAAATGATCTATGAGTATTTGAACAACAATGTGGACAGTGACAATCAAAAAGAAAAGGTAAATCCAAAAGTCACTGTAGAAATAGAATACACACATGGCAGCTGGTGTCAATGGTTGAAAGGGAGGAACAAATGATAATTGTCAAGGTTTCAGGCTGGCTGACCCATAAAACAATGGTTGGGTACCTACAACAGAAACAACAAAATCATAATGCCCAGCTGATGACATACTCAAAAAGGCAAGTTTGGATTTTGAACAACTTAATTTGAGACACTCACAGAGCATCTCATTGTAATAGTCCTATAGGCACTTAAAAATGTGGTTCAGTGCACAGGAAATGAGTTGGGATTGGAAATGTAATTTTAAAAATAAGCTTCATTTTTAAATCATTTTAGATTTACAGAAAATTGTGAAGATCCTATAGGTTTCCATATACCCTGCACCCAGTTTTTATTATTAACATCTTGCATAACTGTGGCACATTTGTTAAAATTAATGAGCCAATATTGGCATGCCATTATTAACAAAAGTTCATGTTTATTTAGATTTCCTCAGTTTTCATTTAGCATCCTGTCTCTGTTCCAGGACCCCATCCAGGGTAATGCATTACAGTCAGCTGTCATATCTCCTGAGGTTTATCATGGCTGTTGCAGATTCTCAGACTTTCCTTGTTTTTCATGACCTTGACAATTTTGAAGAGTACTGCTTGGGAATGTTGTAGAACATCATTGGAATTTGTCTGATATTTTTGGAATTTGTCTATTGGAATTTGTCTGATATTTTTCTCATGATTAAACTGGTATTATGTACCTTTTAGGAGGAAGACCACAGAGATAAAATGCCATTGTCATCACATGATATCAAGGGTATGTATTGATGCTAGCTCTGATGACCTGGCTGAGGTAGTATTTTTCAGGGTTCCCCACTGTAAAGTTATGCTCTCCTTACCTCCTTCCATACTGTATTCTTTGGAGGAAAATCACAATGTGCAGCCCACACCAAAGGAGTAGAGTTATGATTCCCATCTTTCAGGGCAAAGTATCTACATACATTATTTGTAATTCTTCTGCACAGAGTATTATGCCATTTCTCCAAGAATCCTTTGTTCCTTTTATTAGAGAATGGTTTTAGAAACCAATATCTTGGTGCTAGATGGGGTCATTACTACTGGAATGTCCGTGCTTCTACACCTTGCATCTACCCTCCTAGATGGCAAGGCAAGGAAGTGTACATGTGCATACTAAGCCACATAGGAGTGCCTGTCTATAAATATTTTATATGTGACCATCTGTATCTATATTAAATAAACATAAGTTAATACCAATGTCTCCAACTCCAATTCATGATCACATGGATCATCCTAGCCTTCTCTCTTGCTCCCACTACTGCTATCCACATTCTTAATTGTTTAATTCCAGCAGTTTTTAGTGGTATTAGAAGTGTGAGCCTGTATCCCCATGAGGAACAAGCTTCTCACTAGAGCACAGTGTTTATGTACAGTTTTCACTTTAGTTTAATAGACTCCTCTCATTTATAAAGTAACTTAGGTCAGCCTCTTTTCCCCACTCCTGACAAGAATACAATTTTGAGAGGCATAATTTAAACAAAGATGATGGCAAATGGCAATAGTTTAGGCATGTTTGCTGAGGGAGTGTGAGGCCAAAGGCAAGTCTTGAGAAAATGCTGTGATTTTTAGAAGGGTAGGAGAAGATGGAACAAGTGACACCAATAATAATAAAAGAAAATAGGAGGAAAATGAAAAGAGTGCAATGGTACTGCTGTAAGTGGCAAAAAGTTTCAGAAAAGAAGGGCTAGTTAATTTGGCCATAAGGAGCATAAAGATGAAAACAAGCTTCTCACATCTATGTCCACATAAGAACTTACTCCCTGAATTGTTCTCTTTTTACAAATGTCCTCCAGACACATCCTGTTTTGGGGTTCCTGTTGTGCTTTCTCAGCAAAAGTCTTCGGTTCAATCCTAAATTTCTCCTCCCCTCCCTTTCCTCCTGTTCCTCCTTCTCCATTTCTTTCCTCCCTCCTCTCCTTCTCCCTCTAGCCATCACATTTTGCTATTACCACCCAGCCTGATTAGCCTAGATTTTCCAAATTTTACCTTCCATTAATCATTCTTCAAGTGTCAAAAAGCATATCCTTCAGAGAGATCCACTTGATCCTTCTCCTCCAGAAGAAGTAGTTAGATGCTCCTGGTATGAACTCCTGTCATGTACTTTCCCTCCTTTATTGGAGCTGCCTATCAACTTCTGTCTTCCTCTGCTAGTCTTCAGTCACCATGGTATGTGCCAGTAGAGTAGGTTACATCTGGTAAGCACCTGATAAATACCTGGTACATGAACACAACCATAACAAGAACTCTTAGCCCTTATCATGTAAGGCTGACCCACAAATGATATAGTTGTTATAGTTGTTGTCATCTTTTATACTTATTTAATCCATTCTCCTTTTTTCTCCTTCTCATCAACAAGAACCCACCCATACTTTAGCTTCCTAGTGATCTCTTTGGCTTCCCAACCTGTAAAATATGCATTGTTATTCAGTTGCTCACTTTGATTTTCCATCATTTAATTGCATCATGAGTCCTTATTTTTGGTACCAGCAGAGGAAAATCTATATTTAATAGTAGCAAGAATTTATTGAAAACCAAGATTACACATGCAGAGAGAACATTTGAACTCTATCATTGAGACTTATTACGTAGCTACATAAACAAGACAGACACAAAATGATGAGGGAGTACGTGCAAAGTAATGCAGAGTCCAAACTGGCTTAGAAATTGCAAAAGACAAATACAGCCTAGCTTCAGGAAAGGAATGAAATTGTCGGGAAAGGCATGAAAAACTTTGTGAGTCAGGGGAACCTTTTGGTGGTGGAACAAACACAGAAATACCTCAGAGATATTGTGGATTTGATACCAGACTACTGCAACAAGGAGAATATGGCAATAAAGCCAGTCACATGAATTTTTGTTTGTTTGTTTCTCAGTGCATATAAAAGTTATATTTACCCTATACTGTAGTCTGCTAAGTGTGCATTGCATTATGTTTAAAAAATGTCTATATCTTATTTAAAAATGCTATATTGCTAAAAATTGCTGACAATCATCTGAACCATCAGCAAGTTGTAATCTTTTTGCTGCTAGAGGATTTTGTCTTGACATTGATTACTAATGACTGATCAGGGTGGTGATTGCTGAAGGTTGGGGCAGTTTCTTAAAACAAGACAACAATGAAGATTGCCACATCAATTGATTCTTTCTTTCATGAAAGATTTTCTTGTAGCATGAGGTTCTATTTGATAGCATTTTACCCACAGTAGAGTGTCTTTCAAGATTGGTGTCAGAGAGGCAAGATGGCTGACTGGAAAAGTTTTAGATGAAAATAGCATAGCCCAGGTATAAGTCTGAAGGAAAAGTGCGAGAACCTACCAGAGGTTCCATGAGAAGAAGTTGTGGAGCAGAATGAACAAGAAGGAGCAAGATTATGTCAGAGATCCACCCCTGAGGAACTTGGAGTCTAGTGGAAAGGGTAGGTGGGTGTTTTTAGTTTTTTGGTTTTTTCTCTCTTCACACCTCTGGCAGACTGCAGGCTCCTGAACTGTTGGAGAGCTTCTCTATCTTCATGTGACCAAAAGCTGTTGCCAGTGATGAACTGAGAGCTTCTTGAGAACAAAGTGCCAGGCTACCAGCCCCCTTGTGGGCTCTCCACTTTACCACAGATCTGAGCTGAGATGGCGAGCACCATACTGCTTTTCTAGCCATTGTGTGCATTTGTCCTCCCCAGAGAGCTTCAACTCTTCCATTCTTTTGTCACTGGTACCCACATGAACATTTCCTAACACCTTCTCAGACTGCAGTGGCCACAAGGGGCAGGTGAGTCCCAGGGAAACTGTGTGATTCCTGAGCTGGCACATTCAGGGTGGGCTGACTTCAGGGGAGAGGAGAGTGCAGCATGCCGGAGGATCCCCTAGGGACAAAGAGGACCAGAATAGTAGCCTTCCTTCATTCAAACTCTTCTTCTCCTCCTCCTTTCCCCCATCCACAGCTGCTAAGGCAGCAATGGCTGTTTCTATGTGGGTTGGCACAGACACCCCAAGGAATGATTGAACTGGAATTCTCAGGAGTGGCTGCTTCCCCTCTGTTGGTGCACCCTCCACACCCAGGCTTCCACAGAGAGTGGGCTCATGCTTTTCTTCTTAAAGATCTGCAGTGGACCAAGGGATGATCAGACTGTGACCTCCCTGCCCATAGGCTCTCCATGGTGCTACTCATGTGGCTACACCAGCAGAGCAAGGCATAACCCAAAGCCAAGATTCGTTAAGGCTGCTTGAGCACTCCATGGGCAACTTGGGATCATCACGCTTCTCCCTGACATGGTCGGGAATTGAACTTAGGGGACCAGGGGACAGGCCTGCAGGCTAGATCCCATATCCCCAGGACTCAATTGTGTTGCTAGGGGGCAGAGAGGGGAGATCCGTGAACTAATATTGGAAGATGAGGGAGTGCCAGTGGACAGAACTGAAAGGAGAGTGGAGTGGGGGTCCGAGCCACCTACACTCATGGAGCATCCCTCCCCTCACAGGAAAGCTGCATTTTTGGTCTGGGGCAGGACCCTGGGCAGGGAATCTCCCAGCTCACAATGGCATTGCTAGTGAGTTCAGCTAATTTGGGCTGCTGCTTATAGCTAGATGCCAGAATGAGATCCATGAGGCAAGAGAAGAGGGAGAAGAGTGAAATACACGCCTGCCTGCCAGACTGTGAATCTCAGACAGCGCCTCCACTATAAGCAGACTTGTTGGCTTGATGGAGACACTTCAGACCATCCCTAGTTGATTTCCCCAGTTGCCCCTGATCCTTGACCTATGCTGACACAGCTCTTTTGCCTTCCTTTGTGAAGCCTAAAAAGAGGCTCGCCAATCCAGCCCTGCTCAGCCTTGCTCCTCCACATTCCTTGGCTGTCATGGAGTACAACACAGAGTCCTCTGGGAACTCCAGGGCCCCACCCATCACTTGGGACATCCAAGTGCTTCTCCTGATTGACTAGAGTTGGACACATGTCTCTAAAACACCAATATAGATGGATTTTTCATTTTCATACACCAAAGAGAACAATCGATATCCACCAGTGTAAAAACAACTAAAAGGTAAAACTCACAGCTCTTATAAAACAGTAACACAAGGGAGAGAAAAAAGCAACTAGGTAACAGTACAAATGATGATCAGAACAGTATCTCACATATCAATACAAACATTGAAGGTGATCAGTTTCAATGCCCCCCTGAAAAGTTATACATTGGCTGAATGGATTAACAAAACCACAACCCAAATATATGCTGTCTTCAAGAAACTCATTCAACTTGCAAAGATTCTTATAGACTTAAGGTAAAGAGATGGAAAAAAGTACTTCATGCAAATGGAAAGCAAATGCAAGCAGGAGTACCTATTCTCATATCAGATAAAAGAGACTTTAAATCAAAAACGGTACAAAAACGGTACAAAGAAGGTCATTATATAACGATAAAAGGATTAATTCAATAAGATATAGAGATCTTAAATAGACACACACACACACACACACACACACACACACACACACACACACACCTAACATGGGAGCTCCCAGATTCATAAAGCAACTTCTTCTAAATCTACGGAAAGAAATAAACAGCAACCTTATAATAGCTGGTGAACTAAGATCAACAAAGAAATATTGGACATAAATGGAATTCTAGAACAAATGGATGTAACAGACATTTACAGAACATTCTGTACTCAAATTTCAGAATACATTCTTCTCATCATCACATGACATTTTCCAGGATACATTGTATGTTAGGCCACAAAACAAGTCTCAGAAAATTTGGAAAAATCGAAATTATATCATATGTCTTCTCAGACCACAGTAGAAAAATATCAATTTTTCTCAGACCACAGTAGATATCAATTCCAAGGGAACTCTTAAAACTACACAAGGTCATAAAAATTAAACAACAGGCTTCTGAATGATCCTTGAGTTATTGATGAAATCAAGATGGAAATCAAAATATTTTTCTAATTGAACATAAGCAACACAAGCTTCAAAAATCTATGGAATACAGAAAAAGCAGCGCTAAGGGGAAAGTTCATAGCCTTAAATGCTTATATAGAAAAGAGAGAAAGATCACAAATCAGCAACCTAATGTCAGACCTCAGTGAACTAGAAAAAGAAGAACAAACTAAACCCAAAGCTAGCAGAAGAAAAGAAATAACAAAGATCATTGCAAAACTAAATGAAATGGAAACCAAAACAAACAAACAAAAACCCAAAAGACCAATGAAACAAAAAGTTGGTTCTTTGAAAAGATAAACAAAATCTATAGACTACTAGCTAGATTAACTTGAAATAGAAGAGAAAGGACTCAAATAAGCTCAACCAGAAATGAAAAAGGAGATATTACAACTGATAGCAGAGAAATATAAAATATCATCCATGACTACTGTGCAAATCCCTATGCACACAAACTAGAAAACCTAGAGAAAACAAAAAAATTCTTGGAAGAACACAACCTCTCAAGCCTGACTCAGGAAGAAATAGAAATCCTAAAAGACCAAAAATAAGTAGCAAGACTGAAATAGTAATAAAATATCCCTCAACAAATGAAAACCCTGGACAAGATGTACTCACAGCCAAATTCTACCATACCTACAAAGGAAAACTGGCACTCATTCTACTGAAATTGTTCCATAACATTGAGTAGGAGGAACTCCTCCCTAACTTATTCTAGGAAGCCAGTATGCCCTTGATATGAAAGCCAGGAAAGGAAGGAAAACTACAGACAATATCCCTTATGAACATAGATGCAAAAAACCTCAACAAAATACTAGCAAACCAAATTCAATAGCATATTAAAAAGAAAATCCACCACAATCAAGTGGGTTACATCCCAGTGATATTTCAATATAAATAAATAAATAAATGTGATTCATCACATAAACAGAAGTAAAAACAAAGACAATATGATCATCTCAATAGATGCAGAAAAAAACTTTCAATAAAATCCAGCACCCCTTCATGCTCAAAACCCTCAAAAATCTAGGCATAGAAGGAAGCCAGCATCATATTGAATGGACAAAATTTGAAATCATTCCCCCTAAGAACTGTAACAATACAGGGAAGCCCAATGTTACACTTCTATTCAATATAATACTGGACATCCTGGTCAGAGCAATCAGGCGAGAGAAACAAATAAAGGGCATTCAAATTGGGAAAGAGGAGGTCAAACTATCCCATTTGCTGATGATACAATTTTATATCTTAAAATAAAAGAAAGAAAGAAAGAAAAA